GGCGGGGAGTGTCGGCTCTGCCAGCACACCACGCGGTGCCCCAGCTCTCCCAGCAGCAGATGTACCCGGCCACCTTCCAGCAGATGGTCCCCAGCGAGGCGCCCTCTCCCCACCACACGCAGGCCGCTCCGCAGCCACCACCAGCTCAGTCGCTCCAGCCCAGCCTCGTGCATCCTTCAGAGCAGCCCCTGCCCGCGCCTGGCGCTGGTACCCAGGTAATGTGTTGACGTGGGGCTCCATCGATGATACGTGGTAGGGTGGTTGTGGCCTGGGGCGTCTTCTGCGGGGAGCACCCAGCTGGGAGTGGTGTCTCTGGTTCTTGAGATGTTCTGTAGCTTCTTGACCTCCATTCTGGAGGTGGTGGCTGGGGCTCAGCTCAGGGGAAGCAGGTGAAGGCTTGAGCCGGTGTCAAGTGGACCTTGTGGATGTGTGCAATGATCTCATGGGCTTTGAGAAGCATGCAGATACGTGCTCTTCTTGAGTTTCCCCTGCCTTCTCCCATCTCAAGAGCAAGAGGACAGCCCCAGAGGAAGGGTAAGCTCTCATCTCCCAGTGGCAGAAGAGGTTAGGCCATAACCATATAGAGTTCGTGCAACGGCACATTCCTGATGTATGCACATACCAATGACAGAATAGGGATGACTGACAGGGTTGAGAGAACCAATACAGTTGCATTGATACAGAAGTGCTTGAAAACAGTTTGAGAAGCAAAGGGAGGTCTCCATTTGGTAATGACTCCAGCAGGCTGCTTGGAAGATTTATTGATCAAGATTAGACCTTTTCTCCCCCTTAAAAGAAATGAAGCATAAAATGAAGCTTCTGATATTAGCACTGTTTGCAAGAGAAATGATTCAGGACTTGTTAACACAGTCTGTAAATACTTCTATTGCCACATTTGAGATATGGCAACACTGTGCAATGTTGCCTGAGCCAAGCAAGAGTGAGAACTAAATTTGTTAATAATAGCTTTCTTGAAAATTTGTGTTCTACCTCATCACTTTGCTATAACATGTAGACTGAAATTCATAACATTACATTTCAACCTGCCATATCATGGTGTCTTTAACACCATACATCATACTTAAATTTCTGACTCCAGCTGTACATTTCGTACAGAAATGCTGTTTGCAAAGATGGAGCCAAGTTGGAGCCTGATACTGCTACCACTGAGCTAATTAGTCCCCGTGTTCCCAAGGGCTTTAGAGGGAAGCGAATGGAGCCAGTTGTATGCAGCATGCATGGCCAACACCAACCCTGAAGAACTGGTGTTCCCAAACTGTGCTGACATAATCATTGTTTACTAAATATTTATGGAAGAGTTGCATAATACTTTTTACGATAAAAGATGGTTAATACAAACAAAATGGAGATGTGCAGACTATCCAGAAATGTTCTTTTCTATTCCTTAAAGTAATTCTGATTGAGAAGTATTTCTTTATGTAAAGGAGTTCCAGGAGAGTTTGATATCTTGCACCTGTATTCAGCCTTGCCCAAGATAAATTATACATTTAAATATTTTGTGAATTATTTTAGTTATGCAAGATGAAATAAATTACATCACTGCCCTTCTGCAACGCACACTGCAATTGTTACTGTAAGCACTCCACATAGGAAGCCTCCTAACTGTTACATGTTGCAAGCTGTACTGCATCTTTATCCATATTAAATCCTGGAGTAATAATTGGGGCTCCTATCCACAATGTTCACAGAACATATAGTAATGAAATTGCATGACTATATTCTCATGAGTCTTGTTTTTTTTATATATTTTCCATGTATTCTAAGTCTGTAGGTTTAAAACAAGTTTTATTTATTCTTTATTCTAAGTCTTTACTTTAAAAGACAAACAAAAATGCAGAGTTTTAGTTAATTCTGAAAGTCTATTTTTTCTTCCATATTTTCCTTTCTTTCTTTTTTTTTCTTTCCTTTCTTACAAGTTCATTCCCCCAAAAAGTACTTAATGCAGGTAAAAGGAGAGTGTTTTCTCCTTAAGTGTAGAAATGCAGTATAGCAGCATAGTCTCTAAGGTAGCTGGAATCCAACGGTCTCATTCCAGTTCCCACAAAATGCTTAAGTAAATAAAATATTTTAACACATTAAACAAGGCAACAAAGATCTCACAAGAAGTGTTTGCAGACAATGGGCCTTAGTCCATAAAAAGATGCATCTGAAATGCTTACACCAAATGGAAGACACAGTTTTGTAAAACACTAGGATATACTCAGTGAGGTTTTTCTGTTTGTTTTTTTTTAAAAAACAAAAACAAAAAACAAAAATAACCAAACAAAAAACTTAGTCTATAGCAGTTAATGGTTCTACATATATATATTAGAGTATTAAAAAATTTGTTATTTAGAATATGGGTAGAGAGCATACTTTCATCTTTGTGAACACTGATATATGCTTGTTGAAAATAGAGCCAAGTATTCAGGACAATGAGCTCATCATCTACCTTTTTTTTTAATTTCTAAGCAAAATTTGGTTTAGTTTTTCCTAGTTAACAATACTTCAGCAATACACGTTTTCAAAGTTATGTAGGAATGCAACATTTTCATTTCATTGTTTTGAAGCAAATTTAAGTTCCGAGTAGCTTCCTTTCCAACCAGAGATCACACAAATAAGCTCTCACTGCACAGTGATAATCTTTTTTTCTGTGAACTGCAGTGCCTTTTCATCAGTATAGGTCACCAGAAGCTCTAAGCAGAGGTTTGTTCTAATAGGTGTCTATTGTGTTACAGCAGATGACTGGACACACTCAGTTTGCTCTGGAAACTGGAGCCCAGGTGCCTGTACTGCCCGTGCAGCCTTCGATAGTCATGTCACCACCTTTGCAGTTGCAGCCCGAACTATTGCCGCCCTGCGTCGCTCCAGAAAGCGTTTCCCAGGTCCATGGCAGCCTTGCTACAGCTAGTCCGCCCGTGCCCGTAGATCCCTGTCTGCCTCCGCAGCCTTCTGGTCTTCTGCAGCTCCAGCCAGACCTGTCCCAGCAGCTGGCTCAGCAGCTCCCCGTGCCCTGCTCAGCAGCCCAGGCAATTACAGAGTCATCTCAAGAGGTAGAGCTGTTTACTTATGGTCATAGGCTTATTTCACAAGGTAGATTATCCATGCTCAAGGTATAGAAGAGATTGTCCTAGATCCTGGCAGTTCTGGGTTGGCAAGTAATTGGCTATTTCAGATGAAACTGGAAACTAAATGTTGTATCTTCTTGAGAAACGTCCCCTTGAAGAAATGATGAGTCAGGTCAAGTCAGCTGCCAAATGCATCTTTGTCCATACTTGAGCACAAATAAAATCAGAAATAGAAGTTACATTCTTTAAGTGCCATGGACAGTACAGAACTGTCCTATGGAACTTCATCCATGTTTTGTCCAGTCTTGTTTTAAGTGTCTTAATGTCTCAAGCAATTGTGCTACAATCATTTGCCTTAAGCAACTATTTCATATGTAAAAACTCTTCATGCTCTTCTGCTTGAACCTTATTCACATTTCATTCAGCGTTGTATCCTCCGGTACTGCCTGAATTCAAGTCTAGTCCTGGTATTTTTGTTTCTTCAAATGTTTGTGGACATTACCAATTCTTAGTGGTTATATAAGCAAGTTGCATTTAACTGTATTTCTTTGTAGAACAGTTGGCTCCTTGTGTCTGCTATTTTGACTTTTCTCTCCACTTCCATAATTGTCTAAACTTCATTCTTGACAGGTGTTACAGAATGTTTCCTTCTCTTTGTTTCTGTCATAGATATTCAGAAACAAAGCAAACCCCATTTGTGCCAGATTTTAGTAAATATGTCTGGCTTCCTCTCCACTCCTTCCGCAAAGCTGCTGTCAGACTTCAGCTTCCTCTTGAGGCTCTGTGCTCTGAAATACCTTCCCTTGCGAAGTAACAAATCCCGTCTTTTCAAAATGAATCTCTTTTTGCCTATATTTTTACACGCTTGTGTATCATCCCATATCTACATCATACAGCCTGTGAATGTCAGTAGATGTACAGCCTAATCCCTACTCCAGGAATGCTAAGTAATAGTACTGCCACCGAACTACATTTCTGTTCTCCGTGTTGCCTGTCCTGCTCTTGAGTGGCAGCTTAGTTCTTGTCAAAAACTGTTCACGCTGTGATTTAGGATATTCCCCTCAGCCTGCTGAATTTCTGTGTCCTGTAAGTTAGGTAGATGTAGCAGAAACAGCAGAACTCGCTCATGGGGCTTCATCTGCAGAAGCCCTGGGTAAGCTTCATGGTACCATGTGGGTGAGATACCTTACTCCAGGTATTTCTCCTTTAACCTGCCCTTTCTTTGTGCTCGGTCTAGTGTCAGAGTCAATGCTGGTGCCAAATCTACAGCCTGTGATGGAAGCTCCGTCCTGCTAGGAGTTTGGGAATATGTGTAAACATCTTTGCTCTAGTGCAGTGTGATATGGAGGATACAAGTTGTCATATGTTACCCAAGGAATAGTTGCACTCTGAGGCATGTGTCTGTCCCTGTCATTTTGTCAAATGCTTAGAAACATTTAACCACTGTTTCGTTAACTTCATTCTCGTATTTCATCTGTGGGTTAACTTTTTTCATTCAATTTATGAAATCAATCCAAAGTCATACTTTGATCCTCTTTTCCCATGGTGGTGTAGGAAAGACATTCAGTGGAAAAATCCTGATGATTTGAGCAAGGTGGCCAGATATATTTGAAGCCTCTTTTTCCTCTACTCGCACCTGCAAAATCTCTAATGAGACCCAAGCCCCTGGGGAGTGCAGGTGGTGTCCTCTGCTGCCCCTCTGTTATATGAGAAATAGGAATCCCGTAGCTGTAATGGGCCTTAAGTGTTGACTGTTACAGCTTGTTTTTGTGCAGAAAAAAAACCCCATAAGCTTCAAAAATTAACTCTCCATATAAAGGTCAAGGTGTGTTGATTTTTATGACATATATTGCTAAGGTTTTCTTGGATGTAAGAAGAGTTTCATGTCTATACATATTCAAACACTGTATTTCACTTTTGCTCTGCCATACCATTTTTATCTGTCTTTTGTTTGACCATGTGGCAATACTCATATCCAAATCAATATGCGTTGATCAGGCAAATGAGATTTTGTAAGGCATTTGATCAAGTGCATTGTCGTAGATGCATTATGTCTGTGTTCTCAGTGTTCATTAATTTTGCAGTTCTGTTGAAATTGCAGTCATGTTCAGCATGGCATGTGTGTGGTGTTGTACGCTGTAAGTGCTGTCGACTTGTGAGAAGCTAAGCTTTTAACCCTGGTCTGCAAATTGTTTTGGTATTAATGTGTACTGGTAACAATCAAGGGACTGGTTTCTAACTGTGAGTAATGGTGGGATTTATATATATAAATTTACAAATTTATATATATATGTGTAAATATATTTTTATGTTTGTATTTGTGTGTGTGCATATATACACAGGTGTCTGTGATTATAGTAGCATCATCTCAAATTCTGTGATAACAGATCCACCCAATGAGAAAGTGCACTGACGGCTGTCCTAGCACTGCAGTCAGTGAAGAAGGAAGTTTTTGTGGAAAACTTTTATTGTAGAAAGCAAGAGAAGATGGTATAAAGGCTGTGTTTGTAAATAACAGCCTTTTTCATTTATATGTTCATAAGATATTTTTGTCAGCAAGTTAAATTCACTGAAAATATCATATTTCAGGAAACTATTAAAAAATAATAAAGCAAATTAGGTTGCACTTTACATGCACTTAGAAAAAGAAACCAGATGAGGTAGATGCTGGTACGTGGTTTCACCACGCAGTATGTTGCTCTGTCACGGTGAGGACCTGCTCTCTGTTTTTTCACCCTGTCACCTGCTTTCAGAACAGCAGAAAACTGACTGGTCCACGAGCTCTGTCCTAAGAGTGGTTGTGTGTAGATGCTGGTGCTGTGCACAGAAGTGGTACTGGGGAGGGTAAAGTGGGAAACTTCCATGTTCTGAAAATATGTTTAACATTACTGAAGCCTTAGTAATAAAAAACTTGTTTAAAGATGTTTTACACATGCATATATAATGCATCTACCTAAATGACTTTTCCTTGCATTTTAGGAGCAGGCAATGCAGGACAAACTTCAGGCACTGTCACAGAGCTGTGAAAGGTATCATTATAATGTCTTTGGCATACGAAATTTTCCTTTCCAAAGGCTGTTCTTCACCTCTACAATGATAAGCCAGAAACTGCAAGGGGTCACATATAGTCAGAAGCTTTGGTGAGAGAAGACCAGGAGCTGAAAGGGAGGGAGACAACAGCTGTTTTCTCCCTAGGCTTCACCCTTTCATGTACAAAGCTTGTCTGTTTCAGTTCACTCAGCTCTGTTAAATCTTTTGTTTGGGTGCTATATCTTGACCCTTATATGCATACAACCACTGGTTTAATTTCATTTTTGCATTGCGATTTTTCTTTTTGCTAAATAAAATGGTGCAGCCCCAGATTTTCATGGTGTCAAACCTGTAGAAATGCAACCTACAGTATTATAATTGGGTATGTAGTTTCTTGTGTTGCTGTAATGGTGATATCTGTACCAATTTCTTCTCTAATGATTACCAGCTGAGCTATGGGGCTTTGGCTATGGGTGAGAGTTGTTCAGTGAATGCCTCTGAAAGTATCATTGTAGCAGGAGTTAAAACATGTGGCCAGAAGTGCTTCTGTACCTGAATAATTCCTGTATGGAAAAAATAGCAAATGGTGGCTCTCAGAGCCAGCTCAGTGCTCGACAGAGTTATTAGAAAATTTAGTTTTACCAGCCAAGCAGCCAAGGGAAGTGAGCAAAGTTAGGATGAAGAGATGAGGAAGAGCCCTGGGGAGGAAGACTCAGTGCTTTGGCTAATGACAGGCACGTGAGATGAAAGAAGGGAGGCAGAGGCACCTCTTTGTGGGGCAGGACTGCCCTCGCCAGACACACAGCATCTCCCACACTGCAGTTCCCACCTCCTTTCAGCACTCGGGTATAGAAAAGCAGATAAAAAATGTGTATGCATTAGCACCCAAGTACTTTGCCTGCTGCAGATACTTGCACTGCATTCATCTTGACTGACTGTGAAGGTACAGTATTTTGTTCTTGGGCTAGGACTTTAGTGACCCTGTTCTATTTTCCTGAATAGACAAAGTGAACTGAGTCTATGCACTTGAAGGCTTCTAGTTCTTGCTATTTTTCCTTCTGCCCCACCAAAAAAAGTCAGTCAGACACAAGTGAATACAAACCTACCACCTTTTAGGATAATTTTAATTGCACCATTTTTCCTAAGGATTTTTTTTTTTAATTCTGACGGAGAAGAATCCCAGTGAAGTTAAAATTCTCTGATTTCCAGGAAATACAGAGGTTTTAGGGCAGAAGGAGAATGGTTTTTAATTTGAACTTTCAGTGAGCCTCCTACTTTTTGGGTACAAGTGAAATATTTTTCTTGGCTCTCGGGTAGCTCTGGCTATAAATAAGTTGAAATGAGTTCACTGTCATCTGTTGAGAAGATTGCTATCTAATTTGTTGTAGAAGGGCATATCATATATTTAGTCTATTGAGTTCTTATTTTCCTGTTCCAGCAGTATGTTTCAGAAGCTTATTTGTCATGACTGTGACAATGTGAAGAGTCTGTCAGAACATGTCTCAGTCATACAGGGAGGTCTCTGCTTTCTGGGTGCACGTGGCCAACATTTGAGTTGGGTTGTACTTGCACAGAGTGGAGGGAACAGGGCATTCAAGTAAAATGTGTGGCAGTTGCAGTGATGGTATGAACTAGAATACATTCCCTGCGCAAAATGTGCTCGCTGTGCTACTGTAGGAGCTGCACATTGGAAACAGCTGCAGAGTGCAAGGAAATGATCTGTTCTCTCTAATTAGTGCAGTTATAACAAGAAGTAAAGGCCTTATATTCAACCAAGGGATCTGTAGGTCAAACTTGAAAAAAAAAATGTATCCAGGGAGGTTATGATATGACAGGAGGTTTTTGAGATCAGTTTAGACAAATGTCTGTCAGGAGTGGTTTACACAGAGCTGATCATGCCTTTGGGTGATAAATGGACTAGATGACCTTAGAAGATTTCTTCTTGCCATGTTTACTATGCGTCTCTGAATGTTTCCTTCAACTTTACAAATGACTTGCAAGCTTTTTCTGTAAGTGTCATATTGCAATAAGGTTAGCAGTTAGTGCTTAGGTTGCTAAAAATATTATGCTGTCACTAGCTGGGCCATTGGTCATTTGGGATATTGTGGCATAGTGCACTTTTTCATATCCTTGAGAACTGCAGAGACGGGAGACTTGGGATCTCACCGGGGGCTGTGTGGACAGCTCACACCTTTCCTTCATCTTTGACCAAATTGAGCGCATTTGAGACAAATTGAGCGCATTTAGACTTTCTACTGTGAGAGTGAACAACAGGGAACTGGATAAACTGTGGCTTGGTAAAATATGAAGGAATCGTTGCCGTTAGGAGAGGAGCTCTGAGGATCTTCCAAGAAAGGGGCTTGGGGAATATGTATGAAAATTAACCCGCCTTTCACTGTTATTAGCAGAAAACTTTATAGATTATTTCTGATTAGTTATGATAGCCAACATAGGTGCCTGATTTGAAGTAGTTGTTTCCTTTTCGAAATGTCTTTCAGTAGCTGTCTTAATTCAGGCCAGAGGTACAGGTGTGCAATTTTCTTGCAGTCTCTCTTTTTCTTGTATCTTATAATTGTATAACACCATTTTGTTGGGGTTTTTTTGTTTGTTTTTTTTCTCCTTTCCATTAAAAAGCTACATGAGTCCAGATGTTGCTTCAGGTAAAGAAATGAGTGACAGCTTTGAAGGTGCAATAGGAAGTGGAAAACAAGAAGGAAAGCCTTCAAAGAAACATAAGAAATCTACCCGTGCTCGTTCACGCCAAGAAAAGACCAGCAGGCCAAAACTGACCATACTAAATGCAAGTACAGCCTCTTTGAGGGTCTTGTTGGAGTTGGTTTGGTTGTGCCAGCAGTGAGCGTTGTTAATCTTTTCCTGCAGGTGTGTAACACAGGGGATAAGATGGTTGAGTGTCAGCTCGAAACACATAATCACAAAATGGTGACTTTTAAGTTTGATTTGGATGGTGATGCGCCAGAGGAAATTGCTACTTACATGGTAAGACTTGGCGATGCAGCTCCCCAGAGTCTCGTAACGTAATGAATTGCTTCAGCCGCCTTCCTGTCAGTGTACCCCCTTTTGGGTAGCTGTGTAGCTGAGCGTTAAACAAAACATTATTGTTTTTATGTATTCCTATAGGTAGACAATGAATTCATATTGCAGAGTGAAAAAGAGACATTTATTGAGCAAATGAAAGATATTATTGATAAAGCAGAAGATATGCTCAGTGAAGATACAGAAGGAGAACGAAGTTCTGATCAGGGGACGAGTCCCCAACAAGATACTGATAGAATGGAAATGAATGAAGTAAGTAGTGTGAAATAGCATTATAATCCCTTTTTTGCAATATATCCTTACTGTAGGTTAGTTTTGCATCCTGTGTTGTAAAAGACTTCTTAGCCAGAAAAGTAATGCTTTTCCTCTGCTGAGCTTACAATTCAACTATTCTGTGGAAAAATGCTCCTTCGCATTGATACCAAAAAGACTGGTGGTTCTGTCTTGTTTTTGTGTTTTAACAGGAGAAGCGACAGTCTCAAGTGAAGACGCCCGTGTATCAGCAAAATGGTAAAAGTGTCTTTTGAATACAAACTTAATTTTAATTTTGAGTTCTAAGGCAGAAGTTTATCCAAATGTTTGCTATAGAGAGGAAGTAATCCACCAATGACTGGAAAAATATCTCAAAATTATGAGTATAGCAGCAGTCTCTGCTGTTGGTAACCTTCAGGAAGGGCTACTGGCCTTACTTGGGTGAAACGACCATATGGGGATGTGTAGGGCCAGAGCTAATCTTGGCCCTCTGAACCTAAGTGTATTTGCTGGCTTTACAGATAAAGGGAAGGGAATAAAATAGGTGCTTATTCTTTCTGTTAGTAAGCTGGTGGGAAGAAAAAATAAACTTCTGCTGGAGAAAGCCTCATTTCAGAAACTCACATTGCGGAGTGCAGTGCTGTGTGTTTCTCCTGTTTGTAGAGGAAGAAGGATAATTCAAAATCCTGGCAAGTTCAGAAACTGGATGGTCCTTCCAAACTAGATTTTTGATTCCAAAGATCTAAAGGGATTGCTGATAGAAGTCACATAATTTTCTCAGCATGCAATTTTAACATACCGTTTATATTTACACTGTGGAGGTTACAAAGTGTGTATTGTTTGTCAATTATGTATGTCAGACTTTGAGATGAGACTTGGAAGGAAATAGCTATAACACTTCCTACGTAGAAAAATTAAGTTGGGTAAACTTTACAAAATTAACAAATGTTACCATTGTGAGAAAACTCTTTAGAATACTTGCAATAAAATTTTCACGTGTGTAAATATAGTTCTTCTAAAAGCATGAGAACTTGAAAATTAATTTTCAAGCAACTCAAAATATGTGGCGGAGGCAGAATGCATAATTATCCCCCTTCCAGAAGGCAGCTTCTGTGGGATGGCACTCAAATAGGAGCCGTTGTTTTAATGTCTGTTAATACTATAGAAATGCTGATTTTTTTCTTTGAATATAGAGTTAAGACTAGGTTTCAATGGGTAATCTGGATTGAATATTAGCTATTGCGTTAATACTTTATTTTCCTCTCTAGTCTTGCATACTGGAAAAAGGTGGTTTATCATATGTCCTGTTGTGGAAAATCCCGCTACTGATGCTCCAGAATTTTCTCCACCAGTTCCTCAAAGCACACAGCAGCCTGAAGGCCCAGGTATTTATGAACATTACATTTTTCAGAAAATATCATTTCACAGAAGATGCTGTAATCTCCCCATTATTCTTCTATGATCTACCAGTTCTGTACTATGGCAGTTTATTACTATACTGCTACTTTCTGAAATTTAATTGGTAGCTAATAGATCATAGTATATGACCCAAAAAAAAAAAAAAGTGCTGTGATAACTGCAGTAACTTCTCTCTTCTGAAAATACCTTTCATATTTCTCAGGTAAAAGAAAAAGTTGTTCCTCGTTCTCATCATTGCCTTAGAAAGCTATGGTGGGCGGAGGGAAGGCAGGAAAGAAATCCTGCCTTGGCTTAGGGCTACACTTATTGGCTACTAATGGGAAGATGATGAGGAAAAACTCCTGAGATCTCGAAAATCACCTCCTCCTCATCCTAAAAAGCAGTATGTTTTATGAAGCCTAGGCCTTACTGTGTTTATTTAACAAGTGAACACTTGCATGCCAGGGACTTCACGTAATTTGAAGAATCCAACTGTCTTCACTGAAACGCTGAAGTCGGGTTATTTATAAGTAGATTTTTGATTCATTGTGTAAAAGTTACCACTCAAAATGAGCACAGCTAGCATGGTATGCAGCTTGAGTTACAGGGAAGTCCCAGTATTTTAAAACTGTACCTACGCTGTGAGACAGCTCAAGTCGTGGTCCCGGCTGTTTTTGGCTTTTCGGTGAAGTGTTTCTGCCTAGTCTGCAATGCAAGCTTCGAATTTAACTGTATATTGGGGGTTTTCTGAGAGGAAACTGTGGTCAGTTAAAGCTGGATGTGGGTCCCTGTGGTTAAATGAGACATGAAGTTTTGCAGCCTCTGTCTTTCTCTCTGCAAAATGTTAAGCTGACCCTCATGTGCCTTGCAGACGCGGAGCAGCG